ATATATATATGAGACGCACCAAGCTGAACTCCTGGGAACCCCCTGCCTTTGCAGTACATGTCACTGCAAAGGCTTCCTGTTTGCTGTAGTCTACACTCTGGAAAAAAAACAAAAAACAAACCTCAGATACACAATGTTATTTGTACACAAATCTGTCCCAATTCAAACTCCTATTTCTGACAGACAGATTCCTCCATGCACAACGTCTGTTTTATCAAACGCTGTACCTCAACAAATAGAAAACAAAGGAGGTTGAATGCTTTCACCACCCTCTGTAGCTCAGTTCACTTTTCTAAACTTATTAAAGTAAAATAAACTTCTAAACTTATTAAGTAAAATAATTTACACTGTGCAATTTTGCGTATGACACTATGTCTTTCATTTTTCAGGCTCTGGTGTTTCAGCGAGGACGTACTTCACTTTCAGTGCTTCGACTCTTCTACTGTCAAAGTCTATAAATGTTGTGATGAGTGTCCTTTGCTTCTTTTATGTGGTCTAATAAATGTAACACACATAAACATGCTAACATTTCAACATACATAACTTTCAAAGTGCATTAAAACCGATGTTTTAATGATTAACATGTTTGTGTTGCTGTGTAATCTGTTTATTTTATTACTAATTTATCCATCAAAATGTTTTATTCCCTGTGTGTATCAATTGTAAAGTGTTTAACCAAATCTAATGGTCTGTCATCAAACTTTTCTAATTTCTTGATTGAGTTTTTCCTGAAAGCATGATAAAAATAATTTAGTTGTGGCAAAATTTGAATGTCTTAGTGTTTAAATAAATTGAATGGTTTTGCTTTTTTACAGAAAATAAATCCCTCCTAAAATTTTAATTATGTGTGTGTTACAAAAATAAGCTTAGCCTTTAGTTTCTTATTTTAAATGTAGAAAATGCAGATTCACAGCTGACCAATAGTGAAGAGCTGGAGGCTGCATTCTTAAAATCATTCAGGCGATACATTTTGTTTCAGTGGATCATCTAAAATGACTGGCAAAGAACAAGATAAACAAGGAAATTTGATTTGCAGTAAAGGAGTTGTTTGAATAGATGGTTAAATTTGAAAAAGCATATTCAAATTTCTCAAGTTTAGTATAAAAGATAAATAGATGTGTGAGATTATGTACGAACAGTGATTAAAAAGAGAAGGATGGGTTACTAAGCAGGACTCTATACAATAAGCAATAAAATCCATATGTAGAAGTAAAACTTCTTCAGTGGTTTTTTTTAAAGGAAAGTTAACAACTCTGCACGTCAGCGCTTCTATTCTGAATAAAAGCCTGGTGCATGTAAACACACATCATGATCAGATTTTAAACAATGCATTCGGATTATTTCTTCTTTTTTACTTTCATTCTAGAGGAATGGGCCAATAAACAGCCGACACTGTTAGGCCAACATCACATTCCTTAGCTTATCTAGCTCCAGCTTTACTCCACGTTACATATAAAGTAAAATCAATGGGCCTCATGCAAGAACCGTTCGTACACAGATTTGTTCTTAAATTGTGCGTACGAGTGATTTAGGAGAATTTGTGGCATTCACCAATGTTTTCGTATTCTAAGATTTTCTTCAGATACGAACAAAATTTACGAGTGGTCCAGACCTGTCGTATATTTTACGAGGAGTCAGTCTGCTGTTATCCAGACAGATTTTTACCACTACGGTGCGCGACTGTGTGGCTTCTAAATAAATGAAAACGATTTAACACAGTTGTTTATATTTTTAGCAGCTCTTTTTATTC